TCAAAATGAACTTTTATGACTGTTTGCAAACAGTTTGTCTTCCTTATTTTGCTGTTGGACGGCAAATTTTAGTCATGATCAAATATTAGTTGGGATTATTACATTCAGTGTAGATGGGTAGCTGTTTCAATGGATGAATCAAAAAACTTAATAATCTGTCTCAGATATACTCGCCGTCTTGTCTTCTGAATTGCCATAAGCTGATCGTTCAGGAAAAAGTTGAATTTTTTTTTTGTTATTTTGCAGAAAGTAAAAAAAAAAAACGTGTTTAAATTGTGTAATCAAAGTGACAGATGAAAAAACAAAGTTTTAACTTTTTTTGTAGTTTTTATGCGGCGAAACTGTGGTGTTGTTTAAAAAAATTGACCTTATTGGAGGATGGCGACGAAATTTTATACGATTTTTTCTATGGCTTAGATGTTTTTCAGCAATATTGAGTTACCGTTTGAACTGTGGCAACTGCAAAGTGTTTGCTTTATTATTTTTAATATTCAAAAATTGGTCTTTTCTAGAAAGCAGGAAGCTGAAAGAATTCGTTTTTTTTTTCTGTTTTGTCATTTTCTTTCTGGCATTCGTTCTGTACCAGAAATATTAAGAAGTTCTAAGTAACGGGAATGTGGAAGAGATTAGTGAGAACTGTCATCGTGCTTGCTGTTAGCTTTAGCTATAAAACAGACAGTTCTGTTTGGTTAAGGGTTTAGTGGTACAACAAATACGAGTTTCGCCAAGTAGTTAACAGGTTTTTAGAGTTACTATTAGTTGAGAAGTTAGCAGTGATGGGTTTCAGTAACAAAGCAAAAAAAAAAAAAAAAAGTTAGTTGAATGAAATTTTCGTGTTGTCAATATTTAAAAATAAAAAATTTTTTTACCATCAGCATTAATCAAATTAGCTATTTCTTTTTTTTTTGATGCCTTCAAAAAACTGGTCTGGTAATGGTAAATTGATGAGGTCACTGATGATTGCTGCAATTTTTCAGTCAGATCATTATTATCTTTTCCTGTTTTATTGAGTTCTGTTAAGGTGCCTGTCAATGAAAACTGCACTTATCTATTTTTTAATGTTTCTATTAATGGTGTAAAATATAAAAAGGTTTATCGGAAACTTCAGAGTCCGAAAACTTTTTAATTTATTACAACTGTATTCGCAACAATTTTTAGCGTAAACTGCAGCGAGCTGACATTTTTTGATAAATATCGGTAATAGTCGTACTTACCTACTTTTTTAGACCTTTCTAAGCAAAAAAGTTCTTATTCTTAACATAATGACATTTTTGTAATTTATATAGTTATCAATTTATTTTTATTTCTTTGTTCAAAGTTTATTGAAATGTTCTATCATTGTCGGCTGTTCTTTGCCACATATTTTAAGGAAAGGAACTGTATTTGTTGACAGGTTATGTATCAGTTGGGAGCATTCATAAAACTGGTGTTGGTCTTGAAAGTAGAATCTTGATAAGACTGATAAAAAGGTTACATCACTAATAATTGTTATTTTTAGACTGTTCAGATGAGTTTTATTGGACATGTCAAGCAGAGTATCGCAAAAGCAATTCAGTTTGCTTCGGATAACACGGTGTTCAGTGAACTGCCGGAGTGTTCGTCGCTTCACTGTGCTCAGACGTTGTCCATCAAAGCTGTTGATTCATTGGAAATGTATGTTGCTATAAAGTCTCTGTTAACAGTTTCCGATTTGCTTCTGTTGTCGCAGACTAAGGTATGATGCAAAAGTGTAAAAGTAGCGGTAAATTTGAATGCCTTTTTTCTTCTTTTTAAGAGAGACTGACAACTGACACAGTGAGTGAAGAACTGCTGAAAGGAAGATTACTATGCAGATAATAGGTCATGAATTAGAAAGTTATTAAACCTTTGCTATCAGTTGCTTAAAAATAAATAATTAATAAATGGTAGCGCTAAAAATTTTGTAGATTTCTGCCATACAGGGACTAGATGCATTTTTCTTTTTTTTTTTTTTTTTT